GCAGTATATAATTTACAAACCCTAATTCAAAGATCTTATCTCATCCATGCTTATATATATTTATTAGATTTTAGTATCTTATATAATATTGTTTATGAAACCCAATGAATCACTGATCCAGTCTGCTTAGATGTGTGACCCAATATGATCATATAATATTAGCAATAGGCATTATAATATTAGCAATAGGCATTTTAACTCTCCATAGACGGAATGAATCAAAATGAACATTTTAATTTGTACTGTCTATATAATTTGTAGTTATTAAAAAAGAGAATAAGAAGACCCAAAGCCACAAGAAGAGAAAAAAATGAAAGTCATGAAGAGAAAAACACAATGAACATTGTAATTGGCGTTTTTTATTGTGTAAGTTTTTTTACTCATATGTTTTCAAGTTTTTTATTTATTTTTGAAAACACATATGTTTTCAAGTTACCTTTATTTATGTGATAAACCCTAATTAATCGATTATTTTTATAAACCTAATCGGCAGCTTTGACTTCAACCTCTATAAGAAACCTCCATGTCGAGACCTACCTTCCAAAAGGGAGGTTAGTGACTCGTCGTGAACTCACAATCAGCTTAGTGATTTGTGGAGATTTTTATTCGTAAAGGTTATCCTGATTGGCAAATACTTGCATGGCACCATACATTGTTCGTCAAGCTTACTGGTTTAGTCCGATTTTATTATCAAACAAGGAAAAAAAGCCGCTTTATATATTTAATGATGTTATCCTAATTGGCAAACGATTGCATGGGTCTTTTTGTAATGTATTCTTGAAGTTGGTGACTCCAACTCTGTAGCCAATCTTCGGCGTGGCCTGCCTTTCGTTCTCATTCCTTGGATCTAAGGATAGACTAACAAAATATCAAGGAATGGAAGGTCAGTGTGGAAGCATCGGAAACAAATTAGGGTGAAATGCTTATTGCTCGAAGTGTAATGGTTGAGGATCAGTGACAGTCTTTTATCGCCACAAGTTATCCACAATAGTTGAGATCTCTGTTTGCTCTTGAAATGCCATCTACCTCTGTGTAAAACTGTAAATGGTGGAGCTTAAGGTCTGAGCGAGTCAGTTCTTAGATCCGTACTTTCGTTACCCTTTGGATTCTAAACATTACAAATATCACAATAAACATTACTTTAATGATATATACAATCCTCTATATATTAATTGAGGAGACACTAAGAAAAATCCTAGGTGTAAACAATGAGTAAATTAAGAAATACATAACCAATAGATTTTTGATTTAAAAATAATGTGTACATAAAAACAAAATTAACATAATTAACTCCACTAATAAATTACAGCAAGTTTCCATATTCAAAATTTCTATTGAACACTCCATCTATCAATATAAACAACCCACCGTCTTTTATATGTACACTAGGGGATGTCCCGGACTACGTCCGGATATATTGATAATAGATTTTTTTAATATTTTCGTTTGAATAATATTATGCCATTGTAATGTTTATGATTTTATGGATTGAAAAAGAAATTATATGTTGATC